CTTCCTCGGTCCCAGTCACCTCCTGCTCATCCCGCCGCCCGCTGCCCTGCGCCCAGGCGTGCGGGGGTGCGGCGGCGGCGCGGGCGAGGTGACGGCCGGGGACCGTGCGGCTCCCGGCAGCTGCTGCTTGCAGCGCGGCGGCCGCCTGCTGTCGGCGTGCAGGGCGCCGGCTTGCCCGCGAGCACCGCCCACAAAGCACCGCGCCGCACCTGCGTGGGCGACAGCCTGAAGGTGGCCCCCGACAGGATGAAGGTCCAGACCTGCACGCCGCAGCCAGCAGCAAGGGCTCAGCCAGGCGGCCATGCGGGCCGGGCGTTCCGCGCTTGGTGCAAGCGTGGCACGGCAGGCGGGCAGAGGTGGGAGGGCCGCGCCGCACATTGTCGCAGAAGCGGTAGATGTCCAGGTGGCCCTTCAGGCTGCCCTTGGCGGTGACCTTGTTCTCCATCGTCTCAAACACCACCTCGTCATACTGCGCAGGGGAGGCGAGCAATTGAACAGGCCGGCAGTGGTGAGCGGCAGAGCGGCGGCTGGCAGACGGCGGCTAGCGGTGGGCACGACCCGTGCGGCCTGTCCCCTGTGCTCCTCTCCGCCATCTGCACTCTGCCAGGCCCCTTCGCCTACGCTGGCCTGTGCATTGCAGCGCAAGCGGCGAGCGATCGTCCCACCTCGTCCAGGATGCGCAGCGCCAGCTGAGGCGGGAGCTTCCCCTCCTCCACCAGCTGGTCTAGCGCGTCCACCAGGCTATGGCCCAGCTTGGACTGCCGATACAAGGCGGAGCACGCCATGACCAGCCTCTACGCAGCCATCAGAGGGTTGCAGCTGCTGCCCAGATGCACAGCAAACTGCACGGCGTGTGGTGGTGGGCGGGCGTTGAAATGGGCGAGGGTGATGTGGCGCGAACGGGCGCAGCAGCGGCGGCACATCATTCTCTCCCCCCAAATGTCCAGCTAACTTGCTCTAAACGTGTGTGCTTGTGACACCAGCGGCCTGTGTCATGCAATTTCTCCTTAAAACCAGTCCTACACCATCCAGCATCACTTGCAAAGCGGTGGCGCCGCCGCGACGTGGCGCGGCATCAAAGATGGAGACCAGATTTTGTTTCCTTATGATGAAGCTGAACGATGGATTGATTAAAGTAAGGTGGGATTGATTAACGAATGGTTGCTTGCTGCTGTAAAGCTCTCTGCTGGCGCCAGGCCTTGTTACCGCAGCGCAGTCGCCGATTGTGGTGTGCACACTGTGTGCCGCACAAGCGTACACCTTGACTAGCTTTCTCGCAGCATAACATCTTTTTCGACGACTTGGAATTGTGAGGGACCCGGGGGCTCATGCCCACCCTGCAGTCCTGTTCCCTGGAGCCAGCCCGAGGCCAGGCGGCGGCAGTCCTGCAGGTGGCGGCGGCGGGGGCGGAAGGCGGAGGCGGCGGGGCAGGTTGTCAGAACGCATATCGTTTGGAGGCTCCCTAACCTCGATGCTGATGCCATGGAGGCGCACTTTAACGGTGATTGAACGTCCTGGCATCCGGCGTACTTGCGTAGGGCATGTACTTATGCTCAGACTTGTAAGCGTACCCAGACTGGAAGGCGCGAAATCTTTGGATCGCCGCAACATGAGGCGCTCTAGCCCCCCAAATTACCCGCCCAGTTCCTGCGAGCGAGTCCACCCGTAGGCCCAGGGCTGTGCCCGCCAGAAGTAAAGAAGAGGCCGTGGTGGCGCCTCTGGCCCGCCGAAGGCTCAAAATGTCTCCGCAAATGTTGATGGTGGCGATCCTGGCCTGGATGGTCGCTGGTAAGGCCTGGAGGACTCGGCCCGCGGGCATGTATACAGGCCACTCCATCTATATGCCTTTTGAGCCTCCGCTGAGGCTGGTTGCTTGTGTGGGCTTACAGTCTGGTTTCAGCAAGAACAAGCTTGCAGCACAGACTTTGTTGTTCGAGCAAGGAGGGATGAAGCAGTAGAACAACAGGCAGGACAGGCCAACTGACAGGTCACCGAGCGTTTAGTGTGTGAGCGGGCAGACAGTACTGCATGTCGTGGAGCAGGTGTGGTGCGGTAAGAGCAAAGGGGTGGACATGAGAGTGG